AAGACTTACAGGAAATGATGCAGGACCAGGAAAACAATACACACAATGGTTCCAATAACTGGGATGGAAAGATCTACCACAAATAATCAAACTGAATGTTGGGAAATTGCAAAGAACAAGGATGCCTCCAGTGTAGGAATTTAGGGGGGAAAGCTTCCTCTTACTTCCTTCCACACATTAGGATCCACCAGTATGGAACAGCGCACATCACATCAGGTTTCTTTGATGTATGGACTGATTTTAATGAATTTTTTTTCTTTTCCTCTTTAAAAAAAACCAAAAACAAAAAACTTTGTTGGAAGGTATTACTTTAAGATGGAGTGGGGAAGGGATAGAAAGAGAAATCTAAGTGATGTAAAAAAAAGATCAATAAAAATATATATTTTTTAAAATATAGTCCCACTGTAAACTACCTTACTCAGGCCTCACCAGGCATTTTGTCTTCAGTTCTTGGTGCCATAGTTGAAAGGAAAATTTAAGTTTAAAGAAACTCTCAAGCTAGTGAATGTCCCGAGAAAGGCAAATGTGAGAAAACTCAAAAGTAGGAGCCCCGTTTTGAAGTCTTTTAAATGTCACAGGCCTTTTTACTTTATCTTGGAGCCAATGGAGTTTATTGAGTTGGGAGATGACATGGTGAGACCTGCACTTTAGGAAAATCACTTTGGCAGCCGGGTCATCCCTTCTCTCAACGAAGATGGATTGTGATGGGGAAAGGTTTGAAACAGGGAGGTCAGCTGAAAGCCTATTCCAATGGTTTAGTTGAGAGGTGAAAAAAGCCTGAACTAGTTTGAGTGTAGAGAAAAGGATGAGTAGGAGAGATATTGTGATGACAGAAATAAGGCTAGGTAACAAACTGGCTCTGTGGGACAAGTAGGAATGAGGAGTAGAGAATGACACTGAGTTTTCAAGCTAGGGTGACTGGGATGATGGCTGAGCACTAGAGAGTTAGAGAGAAGTTTGGAAGGAAAGACAATTCATTAACTCAGTTTTAGACGCGTTCTGTTTGAGGTGTCTGCAGAACATGAAGTTTAAGATGTCTAAAAGACACTTGGTGTAGTGAGAACGGATTTCAGAAAAGAGCCTAGAATTAGATATGTAGATCTGGGAATAATCTGCATAAAGAAGGTAATTAAACCCACAAAAACTGTGGGTTCATCAACTAGTGAATGAATAGAAAAAGCTTATTAAGCACTTTCTTTGCGGGAAGCACTGTGTTAAGCTCTAGGGGTACAAACAGAAAGGTCAGAAAGTCCTATCACTAAGGGATCTGACATTCTACCTAAGGAAGACAATACAAAAAAAAATTCAGCTGCAAGGCAGATGGAAAGGCTCCATATTCCTAAAAGATCAATGGAAGTGTGGGTAGCAAGACTCAGGTATCATTAGATGAAAGTTTGTGGTTTCTAGAAAGCTTAGAGGCAGGGTAGATGATTAAACCTTAGGATGTAGTGCCAGTGCAGATGGTAAGGCCTGGTGGTCCTCTATTTGACCAGGAGGAATAAAGTTGGTGACTTTCATGACATCTAAGCCATGTGAACCTTTAATAGCCACTATGGGTTCTGAGAGGGTGAGTCAGTCAGTCAACCAGCATTGAATAATTGCCAACTGCATACCATTCATTGTGCTAAGCAGTGGAGATACAATGAAAGGCAAAAACCAGGCCCTTCTCTCAATAAATTCACAGTGTAAATAGGAAGCCAACATAAAAATGAGATAAATGGGATCAAATGGGGGTAATTTCAGAGGAAAGACATTAAAATTGAGGAGGACTGAGAAAGGATTGTTGCAGAAGGTGGAATTTTAACTGAGACTTGAAGAAAGACAGGAGTGTAGAAATGAGGAAGGAAAGAGCCCCAGGTATGCGGCACAGCCAGTGAAAACACTAAATTGGAAGACGGAGTATTGTGTGGGAAGAATAGTGAGAAGGCCAACGTCACTGCATCACAGAATACATGGAACAGAATAAGGTATAAGAACACTGGAAAGATATGAAGGGACCTGGTTATAAAGGGCCTTAAAAGCCAAACAAGATTTGGAGGTAAAAAGGAGTCACTGGAGTTTATTGAATGGAGGAGATATTATCAGAAATGCTTTAAGAAGATAAATTTGCAATATAGCTAATGTGAAAATATGTTTTGCATGACTTCATATGTATAATGGGTATCATATTTCTTGTTTTCTCAATGGCTGTGGTAGAGATAAAGGCAGAGTGAGAATTTGGAAATGAAAATATTTCTTTTTAAATAAAATAAAAAAGAAGATAAATTTTGAGCACTGAGTAGAGTAAGGACTGGAGTGGGAGGAGAGTTGAGGGAGGAAAACCAAACAGTGGGCTATTACGATAGTCCAGATGTGAAAAGATGCAGGTGTCAGGGTGGTGGCAAGTGTCTGAAGAAAGAAGAGGGAATATAAGATAGGTATTATGGGGCAGATAGATGGCACATCAGATAGAGAACAAGGCCTGGAGTTCGGAAAACATGAGTTCAATCAAATCTGGCTTCAGACATTTACAAGTTGCACGTGTGGCCTTAGACAAGTTACTTAACTTCTGTTTGGCTCAGTTTTTTCATCCATAAAATGAAGATAATAATAGCACCCATCTCCAAGGGTTATTGTGAGGATCAAATGAATTGATATTCATAAAGTGCTTAGTACAGTACCTGGAGCACCGTACCTATAAGCACTATATAAGTGACAGTTTTTATTATTGTTGCTGTTACCACCAGGACTGAACAAGTAATTGGATGCGAGGAAAGAGTAAGGAGTCAAGGAGGACATGCAGGTTGTGGGCCTGGATTACTGGGAGGACAATGGTAGCCTCAACAATAATAGGGAAATCTGGAAGAGGGCAAGTTTGTGGGGCTGGGGAGGGTTGGGAAGGAGAGGATGATGAGTTCAGTTCTGGACAAGTTAGATTTAAGATCAAAATATTCAGTAAGCAATTTGATGTATGAGACTACAGTTCATCAGAGATGTAATAGCTGGACAAATAGATCTGAGAGTTATCTGCTTAGAGACTAGATCATTAAAATCATTGGGACTAATGAAATCACCAAGTGAAATGCTATAAGGGGAGAAAAGAAGAGGGCCTGGGACAGGACCTTAGAGGACAACCATGGTTAGTGAAAATGACCTGGATGAAGATCCAGTAAAGGAGACAGATGTTGGGAAACATTTCCTAACAATTAGAGATATCCAAAAGTGCAATGAACTGCTTGGAAAGGTAGTGGGTTTCCCTTCATTGGGGATCTTTAAGAAGAGTTTGTATGACCACTTATCTCATATGTTATGTTGGTGATTCCTTTCATGTAGGTTGGACTAGATGGTCACTGAGTATCCTTCTAATTCTCAAATTCTGTATTTCAGTGATTCTTTGAAGAGCCAGAAGAGAACATTCCTAGTCTTAGAATCCCCCATGCAAAGTCATGGAGGCAGGAGATAGAATTTCACCCTGGCCAATTTTCACACTGGCCAATAGGCTGGTTTGAGTAGTGTGTAAAGTGTATTACAGGAAACAATCTACATTTACCCTGGGAAGGTAGTCTCGAACCAGATTCATCAGACTCTAATTTAAGCTTGAGTAAATTATAGGATCTCAGCTCAGTCATAACCTAGTGCCTGCCATACTCGGGGGCCATTCAGTGCCCTTTTACTTCTGCCCTTGTGTTAATCACTTTGCTTGTTTAGCAAAGCAGGTTTTAGCAGTGCACATTCCTAGGTAAATTTCTTATCAGGAAATATGACTTTCTGCAAATCTACTTGTTTATATACTACTCCATACTCCTTAGGGTAAGGTGAAGAAGAAACAATTTTAAAAAATCCCTGTTCTTAGCACATTTTCTTCCCATGTTCTCTTAGGAGAACATGATTGAGCCTCCATGATTAAGTGCAGCTGTTAATACTGTGCTCTTGGCCAGGCTTTCTACACTGATTGTTTGGTTGTAATAAATGGTGAACCACAACAATAGTACACAATCATCAATGCACAGGGACTAAGGATAGAAAACAGCTCTTCTTCAAAAAGCTCACTTTGTTTTTCTTCATCAGCTCCCACACCACCACGTTATTGCCAAAAAAAAAAAAATCTGCTTTCAATTGTGGTACTTCTCAGTCTAGCATTTCAGTCTATACTTACTGGGGAGAAAAACAGTCATTAAGCAATATAAGGTGCACTGAAGTCTTCCTCAGGAGATTCAGCATAGTATGGGTGTTGTTGTACTGGCTTCCCTAAGGCTATGCCAACAAAATATAAACTCTGGCTGGTGGTTCCTACCAAGCTGAAGCTGTAGCAAATACAAAGCCCATTGACTTGGTATGTGCCTGTTTTTAAGAGGCTAGACTAACTAAGCACAAAAAGGCTCATTGATTTTCTGGCACCAGAGGATCCCTTATTTAGCTTCAGAAACTCATTGAGTCATTTACTTAGGTCCAGAGGAGTTGAGATCCATTGGTGGATGGAGTAGACTCACTGATGAAACCACTTGCATCCCAGGATCAGAGATTTAAAACTGAAAAGAACCTTAAACATCATCTAGTTCCATTCCCTTATTTTAAAGAATGTGAAACTGAGGACCAAAGAGGGGAAATGATTAGACCAAAGTCAAATAGGCAGTAAGCCTCAGAGGTAGGATTCAAAACTAGGTTTTCTGTCTACAAGTGTAATGTTCTTTCTACTGCACCATGCTTATAATTTTGGTGTTAGCTAAATACCATCTAAGAGTGACAAATGACTCAAATAAGATGAGGAAAATGTCACTTTTACATTAAACTATTTTCAAGTTAATGACAAACTCAGCAACTATTTAGCTTCCTATTGAATTTCATGCAATTCTATAAGCACTTTCCAACTACATATGCACCTTCTTATAGCATATGTGCCCAGGTGGTTAGGCAAGATGTCCTTAAACATTCCTTTCCACTCTGAGATTTTATGAATGAATGTTAGTCACTGGGTACCATCACAACTACTCTGATGGCAACAAGAATCTTCAGGTGCTTACCTCCTTCTTGGTGAATTTTGGGGAGTGATCATTTTTGTCATCAATCAGGATAGTAGCCGTTGCTGTGCCAGTTAAGCCAACATCCAAACCAGCCATATCCTGAGCTTCAATGATCAGTTCATACTTAGGGTTTTCCAGAGTCTAAAGAAAAAAGACAAAAGTTTTTGTTTTAGCTGTGGTTTACTCTTCAGAGTGGCTGAGACAGAGGCTGGCTTATGGGGTATTATGCAAAGCCAATGATTCAACCAACAAGTATTTATTAGGCACCTACTATGGGCCAGGTGTAAAGTTAGGTGATGCAGATACAAACATAGAAAAGAAGCAGTTGTTGCCCTCAAAGAAGTTGCATCTACTGGAGGAAACAACATGATACCTATAAATAAATACTATATATGTGTATATATATGTATGTATATATACATACATATACATGTGTGTATGTATGTGTATATGTATTCAATATATATATTTAGCATGTATATGTGTGTATATATAGTATATATATAGTATTCAAAAAATTCATTTTTTATCTTAAGTATTATAATCCACTAATGAGGCTTCTCTTCTCTATTCCATGGTCACACATCTAAGCATTTCATTTTGTTTCATGCCTTTCAGAATTAATATGTTCAAAAGTATTTACTCCATACTTATTAATTGCAAGTTACCATACTAGTTATTATAGGATACTAAGATAAATACTTCACATTCCTTACAATAGCAAGGATTTATAAAGAGCTTTAAAGTTTGCAAAACACTTTATAGATATCTTATTTGATCTTCAAATCCCTGAGTGGTAGGTATTAATATTATGCTTATTTTACAGTTGAGGAAACTAAGGCAGACAGTAGTTAAATGAGTTGTCCAGGGTCACACAGCAAGTTAAGTATGAATCTAGATTTGAACTCAGGTCTTCTTGAATCCAGGCCAAGTGCTCTATCTACTGTATCACCTAAATGACCCTCATCTTCAATATGTTTAGTAGTCAGATATGATATATAACCCAAATAATGATAAAGTAATGCAGAGTGCAAAAGTACATAAGAGAGGAGCAAAGTGACAAGTAATCAGCAAAGGCATAATGTCAGAAGCAGTATGTGAGCCAGAAGCGTACAAGAACGGGCATCATTTCAGCTAATAGGGGAAGGGCATTTCAGACAAACTAAGTGAATGACATATCCAGGGAAAGGGGGGGAATGAGGTAGCAGTGGGATCCCCTTCGTTGCAGGCTATTAGACAAAAGCTGCAGACTATCTGTTGAGCATATTATAGTCAGGCTTCTTTTTTTTCCAAGTGTGATTTGTATCAGATAGTCAGTGAGATTTCTTATTAGTTTAAAATTCTGTGGTTCTGTCTTTGGATATAGTGTAGGGTGGTACAGGAGGGAGTATAGTGGGATACTGTAAAGGAAGACTAGAGTCAGAAAGAAAGACAAGGGCTTTAAATTGCAGGATAAGTAACTCAGACTTCATCCTATAGTCAACAAGGTTTTTGAATGAGTGGACTAAACCATGCATTAGAAAGAGTGATCAGAATGCAGAGCTGAATTTGAAAACAATGAGAACACCAGAGATATAACTAGGGCAGAATGTGAAGGGTTTTGCTCCTAGGCACTGCAATTCAGATCACCATGACAGTGTTCATATTCTGTAAGAATGTAGAAACAATTGAACTTGGCACTTACTTCATAAAAATAATTAGTTAAAATAGGAAGCTCTAAATTGGCTCACTTTCTGGCTTTTCTCTCCTGTGGCTAGCTTAATCCCCACCCCCCATTTCTTGCTACTTCCCCCCACACCACCTTCTTGGACTCTTCCCCAGGCAATCTCAGTCCTACTCCCAACCTCAGTAACTTCTTTATAAACAGCTTTGAGGTATCTAAAGCTCTGCAATCTAGGTCTCCTCCCTATGGGATGGTGTACTGGGGCCTCTCTCCCTAACAGAAACAAAACAAAAACAAGAACCGAAGAGCTTCACAGAAATTTGCCTGTATAAAGTTGATTTGAGGCCAGATTTTATGCTGCTTTTGCAGGGTACATTTCCTGAATCATGCCCTCAGTGCCAAAATTGCTAATTATGGCTCTGGAGAGCAGTATCTAGAGAAAAGCACTATAAAGTAACAGGTCCTGTGCCATACAAGTATCCATATGATGTTTACAGCTCCCTGAGTGAATGTTCCAAAAATGATCCACCTTCCTCAAGCCCAAACCTAATTTCCTAGCTTTCTCACGCTCAGCAGATAACCTTTCCTCTAAATTCTGACACTGACCATCTGAAGCAAGTTTCCTCAACTTATTTCTTTTTTACCTCATTATTCCACTACCTCCTCATTTACACTCTCTTTTTCCCTGATCTCAGAGCAAGTAGTGAGCCTACTTTGTGCCAAATCCATACCCTCCCCTTGCATCCCATATGGTGCTCTACAGCCTCTTCCAAGATCTTGCTTCGTCCATCATCCTCTATTCTCCTCAATCATATTATTCAAAATATAATCTGCTTCTGCCATATTTTATTAAATTACTGTACTGAAGGTTCTTATCATACAAATAAAAGAACACAATGTCTTCAAATTGATACTATCAGTACCATCTCTCAGATAGCCACAATTATTCTGATATAATCCTCTGTCTTATGTAAAGGGTGAGTTCCCTGTTGCAAGCACAAGCTGTCCTCATTTCTTATTACTCCTCACATCTCAGATAGCATTTTTAATATAGCTCCAAAGCATTTGTTATTCAGATTACTTTTCCTTTCAATTTTTCCCTTCTATCAGATACTTTATTTTGCTAAAAGTACTTTCTACCAGAATTGTTTATACTCTTTTGGCAGAAACTGTACCTTAGTGAATTTTAAATGATAAATAATAAAAAGCAAACTAGTTAATTCTCCTTCTCCTGGAGTAAACACAGCTGTTTTGGGCTTCCTCAAGAAAGTGTTGAAGGAGCTGAACAGGAAGGCTGAACTTGACTATGGTAATATAATACCTTTGTAATATGGGGAATGAGCTATTTTGGATAACAATTTTGATTTTCTGGTTAACTGAAGGTAAATATTTAAGCTTCTACTCATTTTGTTTCAAAATTTTTTTATAGGAATCACCGACTTTAAAAAATGGAACAGTTTCATAATATAATAAACTCTATAGATCTAGAAATATTTGAGCACAGGTCATAGGAACACTTGCAAAAGATGGTGTTTGCAGAAAGGATTCATGCATAGATTTGTGGCTAGATGGAGTAAACTCTAAGGTACTTCTTCATTCTGAGACACAGTCTGTGATTACATGACGCACTTCCCTACCTTCGTATGAAGACAACAGTATATGGGCACATAGGTGACCTTTCCTTGATGAAACAAAACCAATTTTTAAATAAATATCTGAGTTGTGTTATAGGTGGAGTCATTTGGGGATATAGGTTATAACATACCCTAGAACAGTGCTTGACACAAAGTTACTGCTTAAAAAGTTGTTGAGTGGATTCTTGACTGATTCTTTAATAAAAACTTGATTTAATTTTTTTTTCAATATCTTATTAAAGTGAACAGTCTTAAAGGTGTATGATTTCCTGGATAGCATCACATATTTATTTTGAAGCTAAATGAAATTATGACTTAAAAGCTGACACATATATTTCTTCAGTTGTATTCAGGCCCTCAATGAAGTCTTATTTTTCATTGTCTTTTGACAACATTCAAAATATTATTTTATTTCAACATCAAATAGTCATAGAATTTTGAGGGGGTAGGGAGACCAGACTTGGAATTTCATTGGTATCATGAATTCCTGTGAAGAAAATTCTGTTTACAAATGCAGATTAGCACCTACTCTGCAACTTATTGCCTTATAGTGTTGTGTGGGAGCACTTAGAGTTTAAATGAATTGCCACAGTCTTTAGTCTGAAATGTCACTTGAACCCAAGTCTTCCTATCTCTGGCCCTTTATCTATCACAGTTTGAGAGTTGAAAGGGACCACAGCAGCCATCTAGTCCAAATCATCGATGAAAGGAATTCCCCACTATAACATATCCAGTAAGTGGTTATCTGGCCACTGTTTGAAAACTTCTGATGATAAAAAATCCATCATCAATACAAGCAAGCCATTCCATTTATAGACAGGTCCAATTTTTAGGATTTTCCCCTTACATCAAGCTTACTTTGACCCCCACTAATGACAGATTAAAACATTATCAGAATCATCATCATCATTAATTTAAAATAATATACCATTCTGAGTGTATTAAACTTTCCCTTTGAGTAATGGAGTCTCATTTTACAGATGGGAAAGCAAAGGCTCAAAAAATTTAACTATCTAGCCCAATGTATAAATTTTATCATGAGTAAAATGAAGGATAGAGAAGAAATGTGACTTTTCCAGGCCACAATAATCATGCTGTTATACAACAAACAGTAGAACAAAATTGGTATCTTTCTTCTGTACCACACTGCCTCTTCTCCAACCTCAAGTAAATTTCAATCCACTCTCTATCTCACTTGCATTGGCTGTAGAAGAAAACATTCGTACCTGGTGAACTTTTAGGTTACTGTCATCATTAGAGGATAATTGTGGTTTTGATACCACAGATATAACTAGGATGCTCCATCTTTGACCGGTTGTTTATTTCCATTTTCTTAAGGGATGGATTTTTGAGGACTTTTAACTCTATGGTAACATTCAATCAAGGTTTTGTTGTACTCTGGATTCATAGCACATCTGTCCTTGTTTGGTTCCTGGTCAATGTGTTTCTTTAATCTTCAAATTAAACCTAAAACTTTCATTATAAACTCCAAGAGGGAAGCCTTTGACATCATCATGCAAGTTTGGAAGATTTGATTCCTGTAATACAGAAGTATTAGGGGGAGACATTTTTTTTAGGGTCATAGATTTAGAGTTAGAAAAGACCTTGGAGGCCATCTAATCCAAGCCCCTCATTTTACAGATGAGGAAACCTAAGGAGGTTAAATAATTTTCCAGAGGTAACAGAAGTGGTATTTGGACCAAAAACTGTGAGGGGTAGGGAGGGAAGGGAGTACGAGAGACAGTCAATTCGGCAGAAGAGAAGGAAAACGTGGAAGAAGTCAATCTTGCTACTCAGATGTAGAGCTACCAAGAGAAGCAGAAACAGTAGAACTGTTGGTGTAA